CTTTTTTAGGTATCACTCTGAAAAACCCCCGACCGTTCAGCAAAAAATGTCCCCAAGGGAAAAATTTGTGGTGCGTGGGGGGCAAACAGTAAGGGAGGGTCACTAGGGGCTTTTTCTATGCTGGTTTCACAGCATTTGCCCCCAATGTGAAAGATTACCTAACTGAAAAAAATTTTGAACTTAAGTGCCTCCGGTGTTAGACAATGCCCCTGGGCATCCTACAACGTGGGAAGCGACTTTTTTTGGGGGCAGAAATTCATTAAGGTGAATTTTTACCCCCAATACCCCTCCCCCTCCTGCAGCCCCGGACCACAGGGTTTTGCAAACTTCAAAAAACTGTACACAAAAGCTCTGTTTGAAAGGTCTTTGTATACCCCAGAAACCAACTGACTCTAAAACTTTTTTGGGGAGATCACTTTTAAAACCTCAATTTTAAAACCTTTTAGGGAAGGGTTGGGGGGGAGTGACTAAAAAGACCTTGAACTCTGCTTGGGAAAAACTGTGGCCAAATGGTTGACAAAAGGGGTTTTTTAAGGTTTGAGGGGTAACCCTGAGAGGGGTAGCCATTGAGAACAATTGTGGCATTGGGGAAGTCCTTGGGGTTGGGGGTTTTGTGGGGGGGATGTTTAAAAGTTGGGGGACGACAATGAAGAACTAACCACTGAGGCTGATAGTCAACTTTAAGAGCAAGAGGCCAACCGAGGGAAAATGGGTTTAAAGGAGGGGGGAGAGAAAATTTAAGGAAATTTCCTACTACAAAAATTAAGGGAAAATTTTCAAAATTCTTTAAGTGCAAAACCTTTTTTTTATGAAAACACCCACACGCTATTTCAAGCCGTGTTGGGAACCCGTACACTGACAATGTTTGAAAAAACTTTAGGGGAATAAAAAGGAACAAGGACAGGCCCCTAGGGCAGAATGTTGTGCGAAAAAAAGTCCAGTGACCCTGAAGCGTCCAGGCATTAAAAAAGAAGGGGAAATAACCCCCCAAAAAAGGGTCACACCCCAAGTCTAAAGGAAGGGGATTCCCCTTCTAAACACAACACCCCCTCCCCTCCTCCCACCCATCAATCATCACCAATCTTCAAAAAAAGTAATGTCCGAAAATTGTGCATGCCTTTTTCAGTTTGTGTGTATTAAAATTAACATTTCATGTGGTAAAATTTTTTTTTTTTCATACTTTTGGGTGTCTTGCACGGATTAATTTGATTTCCATTATTTCTTATGGGGAAAATTCATTCGCATACCGAACATTTCGCATAACAGCCAGCCCTCTTGCACGGATTAAGGTCGCTATGCGGGGGTCCACTGTATATGATGCCATCGTTGGTTGAGGGTCCAGTGTATTATGAAATATTTCTTATGAACACATGGGGGGACGTCGCTCACTGGTAAACAATGGCACACTGGCTGGAAAGGGAGGCTGAGGTGCTCAGATCCGTGAGTACGTGTCCAGGACGAAAGACGATTAGCGAGTTAACGGACCATTTGTGAGCCAATGTTTAGACGAAATAACGTGACGATTTCCGAAATGGACGACTTTCAGGCCGGACGATTATTGAGGGACCACTATATTTAGGTATGCATACTGGTCAGAAAGCCTCTCGTAAGTCCGAGTCGTCGGTAAATGAGTATGTCATTAATTGAGGAGAGGCTGTATTTGATTGTGTAAACATGTTATCAGTCTATTATTGTATTTGAAAGTGAAAAAAGGCCGTTACACTTCAGCAATTTTCACTGTACAGTAGTAGCCTGGAAATTAACCTGCTTCATAAGTGGGGCCCTCCTGTATTAGAATTTAGCCTTGATGATGCATAGGGTGTGAATACATATAAGAGCATTATGAGGGGAAGGAAGAACACTGTAACATCTTATGGCTACATGCAACTTATGGCTGGTAATATGCAGTAAATGTGGGTTAGTGGGCATTTGTTAATGTCCAGCAGTTGATCGATTAAGCGGAGTACATTCACATAAATGAAATGTCAAGTATAACAAAATTTTCAGTAAATCAGATACCCCTCCCCCTTGTTAAGTCAGTTTCATAAGACCTTTACTGTACAGTAGTACAGTACAATGGACCCCCGCCTTAAGATATTAATTCGTTCCTGAGAGCTCATCGTAAGCCGAAATTATCGTAAGGAGAAATAATTTTCCCCATAAGAAATAATGGAAATCAAATTAATCCGTTCCTGACACTCCAAAGTATGAAAAAAAAAATTTTACCACATGAAATATTAATTTTAATACACACAAACTGAAGAAGACATGCACAATTACTACTCTACTAAGAATAGAATACATGACACTTACCTTTATTGAAGATCTGGTGATGATTGATGGGATGGGAAGAGGGGAGAGTGTGGAAGTTATTGTTTAGAAGGGGAATCCCCTTCCATTAAGGCTTGAGGTATCAAGTCCTTTTCCGGGGTTACTTCCCTTCTTCTTTTATGCCACTAGGCCCAGCTTGAGAGTCACTGGACCTTTGTCGCACAACAAATCTGTCCATAGAGGTCTGTACCTCCCGCAAAGGTTTGCAGTTCAACCCACTTTGCACCCATTTCCTTAATCTTTGAAGCAGGCAACTTCCTCAGTTTCTCTCTCCTCTCCTCTGAAGCAGTTTCCTCAGGTCTGGCCTCTTGCTGTTGAAGATGATCTTGCAGCTCATCAGTGGTTAGTTCTTCATTGTCCTCCTCCACCAACTCTTCCACATCCTCCCCACTAACCTCCAACCCCATGGACTTTCCCAATGCCACAACAGATTCCACAACTGGCATAGGCTCCTGAGGGTTAGCCCCAAACCCTTCAAAAATCCTTTTCTTCTACACATTGTGGCCATAGTTTCTTCCAAGCAGAGTTCAAGGTCCTCTTAGTCACTCCCTCCCAAGCCTTACCTATAAGGTTTACACAACTGAGGATGCTAAAGTGATCTTTCCAAAACTCTCTTAGTCAGTCGAGTGTCACTTCAAAGCACTTTTGAAACATAGCTTTTGTGTAGAGTTTTTTGAAATATGAAATGACCTGCTGGTCCATGGGCTGCAGGAGAGGAGTGGTATTAGGAGGCAAAAACTTGACCTTATTGAAGCTCATGTCCCTAGAAAGTTGCTCTACCAAGTCTGAAGTATGACCAGGATCATTGTCTAATACCAGAAGGCACTTAAGTTCCAGTTTCTTTTCCATTAGGTAATTTTTCACAGTGGGGGCAAATGCATGGTGTAAACAGTCATAGAAAAAGTCCCTAGTGACCCATGCCTTACTATTTGCCCTCCACATCACACACAAATTAGCCTTGACAACATTGTTTTGCCTGAACACTCTGGGAGTTTCAGAGTGATACGCCAATAAAGGCTTCACTTTGCAATCACCACTAGCATTAGCACACATCAGAAGAGTAAGCCTGTCTTTCATAGGCTTATGTCCTGGGAGTGCCTTTTCCTCCTGAGTAATGTAGGTCCTGCTTGGCATTTTCTTCCAAAACAGGCCTGTTTTGTCACAATTAAACACTTGTTCAGGTTGCAATTCTTCACTGTCTATGTAATCCTTGAATTCGTTCACATATTTTTCAGCCGCTTTTTGGTCCGAACTGGCAGCCTCACCATGCCTTATCACACTATGTATGCCACTACGATTCTTAAATCTCTCAAACCAACCTTTGCTGGCCTTAAATTCACTCACATCACCACTAGTTGCAGACATTTTTCAAATTAAATCCTCATTCAACTTTTTAGCATTTTCACATATGATCGCTTGAGAGATGCTATCTCCTGCTATCTGTTTTTTGTTTATCCACACCAATAACAGTCTCTCAACATCATCTATCGCTTGCGATCTCTGTTTCTAAAACAAACTTGCACCTTTTGCAAGAACAGCTTCCTTGACTGCCATTTTGTTGGCCACGATAGTAGCGATGATTGATTGGGGTTTGGTATACAACCTGGCCAGCTCCGAGACACGCACTCCACTTTCGTACGTACTTAGCAATTATCTCTTTCTTCATTTCCATAGTAATTTTCACCCTTTTTCCTGCAGGGTTGGCACTAGAAGCTTTCTTGGGGCCCATGGTGACTTATTTTGCAGCTTTTTTTTTTTTTTTTCAACAAGTCGGCCGTCTCCCACCGAGGCAGGGTGACCCAAAAAAAGAAAGAAAATCCCCAAAAAGAAAATACTTTCATCATCATTCAACACTCTCACCACACTCACACATAATCACTGTTTTTGCAGAGGTGCTCAGAATACAACAGTTTAGAAGCATATACGTATAAAGATACACAACATATCCCTCCAAACTGCCAATATCCCAAACCCCTCCTTTAAAGTGCAAGCATTGTACTTCCCATTTCCAGGACTCAAGTCCGACTATATGAAAATAACCGGTTTCCCTGAATCCCTTCACTAAATATTACCCTGCTCACACTCCAACAGATCGTCAGGTCCCAAGTACCATTCGTCTCCATTCACTCCTATCCAACACGCTCACGCAGGCTTGCTGGAAGTCCAAGCCCCTCGCCCACAAAACCTCCTTTTGCAGCTACAATCACTAAAAACACTGTGATAATATGAAATGTACCGAATGCATGCGTGGATGCGACTGCACTGGCTGGCTTGTAAACACTGGCACGCACTGGGCAGCTGAGGCCATGCGTGGGACGGGTCCTGGTGAATCGCATGAGGCGAGGCAAAATTTTTTGCAATAAAATGTATCTTTATGGCGGATTTAACGTACCGCGATGCCATTGTAAGGCGGGGGTCCATTGTATTTTAAAAAGTTGATAGTAATATTTTTTGTATAGGTTCTCCTTGAAGAGATGCTTTGATGCTGGTGAATTAGAGCTATCCTTCGTTTCCTTGGGACATAGCTAATTGACTCTTCCTTAGACATTACATAATCCTTGTGGGTTTAGATCTTCTCCAAGATTATAAAAATGTGTGCATATTATAAGGTATCTGCCACAATATTTTGTTTTCATATTGAGGAATTAATTTATTTTGTTTTATTTCAGATGCCCAGCATTAAGCTTCAGAGCAGTGATGGCGACACCTTCGAGGTGGACGTAGAAATTGCTAAACAAAGTGTCACCATAAAAACAATGTTGGAAGACTTGGGTAAGTACACTGTTGAACAATGCTGGAAGATTTGGGTAAGTACACTGTTGAACGGTGTTGGAAGACTTTGGTAAATATACTGTTGAACAATGTTGGAAGAACATTTTTTTTGCACTTAAGGATGAAATATATTTGGAAAACAGTAAACTGCATTACTGTCATTGAGTAAAAGAAGATACAGTGTGTGTTGTAATATTAGTAACCTGCCCTCCTAGAGTTTATAACAAATTTCTTGATGCTCTGCATGTTTAGGTTAGGCTTGGTTAACCCTTAAACGGCCCAAACGTATATGTATGTTCTCTCATGTAGCGCCCCAAATTTTTTGAGGAAAAAAATCTTTTTTTTTTTTAATAGGAAAAAAGAGCATATGGTACCCAGGCATCCCAATTATTTTAATATGGCGCACAGTGAGTGCGCACACCCATTCTCTCATGTCTAGGCGACTCGGGCTTATCGTGGCAATGTTGAATGAATGACAAAGAAAACGTATATATACGTTTGGGGCGCTACACGAGAGAACGTATATATACGTTTGGGCCATTTAAGGGTTAAGTTCGATAGTCGTTTATAAGAAGAAATTTAGCGTTTATAATTTATAATCATGTCATTAGTGAATAAAGGCAGTTGAAATCTTTGTAGCATGAGCACTAAGACAGAGGCCAACAAAGCGCATGTTAAAACTTTACTGTCAGATATCACATTTTCATTTAAATATCACAATCACACACTTAAAGTTGTTAGCCAAAGTGATGTACACTAATAATGTTTATGAGGATTGGCTAATGTTGGATTATAAGAGAACAAGACTTAAAGAAGAGTGAGTGTAGTAACCATGACTTGTGTTGTGTTTTACACATTCTTGGTGTGGCAGGGATGGACGAGGATGAAGAGGAAGTGGTGCCTCTCCCAAACGTCAATGCAGCTATTCTGAAGAAGGTAATTCAGTGGTGCACCTACCACAAAGATGACCCACCCCTTCCTGATGATGATGATAATAAGGAAAAACGCACAGATGATATCTCCTCTTGGGATGCAGATTTTTTGAAGGTATGGATAATTTTGTAAGCAGTCCTATAAACCACAAATTAAAAAAAACAGCAAAAATTAGCCCTTTTACCGAGTGATGTACTAGAACATGGGGACCAAGTAGTGTCTGATGTTTATTAACCCTTTGAAGGTCCAGACCCCTGATCTGAAATATGTCTACAGGGTCCAAAATTAAAAAAAATCTTATGAAGTGATTGACTATTTCTAAAAGTAATAACACCAAAGGAATGAAATTTGATGGAAAACTTATGAAATTACACTTTCACAAAGTTAGCAGTCTCTGTGATATTTACGCACCAGTAATTTCATCCACTTAGGGTCCTATTTTAGGCCAATTTCATCATTCCAGTCTACCAACTCTTAGCTATCTTGCTTATATACCTTGCAGTAGACCAAACTCTTAGCAGTTTCACTAGTATACCTTCCATTCTACTGATTGAGCACAAGAAGCTGCCCATTTAACTATTTCAGCTATTCAATAAAGTGATCAGAAATAGGTAATTTGGCCTATTTCACACAAAATAAAAAAGTCAATTAAAAATAGGGTCCAGAATAAACAATTTAGACATTCATAGCACTAAAACAACGTTTCCTCTATTCATTACAGTAGTTACATCCCCAAGCTTCTCCTATATTACAATTGTTCTCCTTTTTGAATTTTTACTCAAAAAAATAAAAGATTTACCGCTATGCAGACTACTGCATTATTGTAATAATTGTATAAATAATGTAAGCACATTCATGAACACTCATCAGATGGGCCATTTGAAAATGTATTGAACGAGGATGTGATTTGTGTCCTCTACCTCTAGAACATTGGCAAAAATCAAATATTTCCATTACTTTGAGCTCAGTTTCAAGCTACTTCCTGCCCTGAAACAAACAAAAATTCATCTCTATTTCTGTAATATATCTTCCATTCTATCAAAGAAACCGAGAATAAATAAAAAATGCACCGCAAAGTTGCTATTTTAAACCATACACACGGCTATTTTTATTCACTATTTAGGACACGATTTTTTTTAATGTGGTGCACACTCACCCATAGACCCATTCTCTCTTATCTGGGTCAAAATTTACTGCACATAGCTTACCTGAGTGAACTGAACTCATCACATAGTTCCACAGCACAGACCCTTACTTCAAAATCATAGTACAGTGGTACCTTAACTTACGAGTTTAATTCATTCTGTGACCGAGCTCATAACTCAATTTGCTCGTATATCAAATCAGTTTTCCTCGTTGAAATTAACTGAAATGCCATTAACCCTTTCAGGGTTTCAGCCGTACTAGTACGGCTTACGCACCAGGGTCCATGACTTGCTAGTACTCATAAGTTCTAGCGCCTTCAGATCTTGTGAGAGAAAGCTGGTAGGCTTACATATGAAAGAATGGGTCTATGTGGTCAGTGTGCGCAGTATAAAAAAAATCCTGCAGCACACAGTGCGTAATGAGAAAAAAAAAAAAACTTCGATCGTGTTTTTGGATTAAAACAGCGTCTTTGCACTATATTTTCGTATGGTATTTATTGTTGTATTCTAGTTTTTCTGGTCTCATTGTATAGAATGGAAGACATATTACAGAAATTGAGATGATTTTGACTGGTTTTACAATGAAAAGTACCTTGAAAATGAGCTCAAAGTAGCAGAATTGTTCGATTTTTACCAAAGTTCAAAAGTAAACAAATCATGCCATGCGTCCAATACACGTCAACTGGTGAGTCTAATATTCTTTCACTAGTGCGCTGATATTATTTATACCATTTCTACACTAATGCAGTAGTCTGCATAACAGTAAATCTTCTATTTTTTGTGAGAATAAAAATTCAAAATGGAAAGCAAAAGAATGTAAGAGGGGCCTGGGGACGTGACTAATGAACAGAGGAAATGTTATTTTAGTGCCAGGAATGTCTTTCTTGTTTATTCTGAGCCCTATTTGGAAACTGGCATCTTTTGTAATTTGTGTGAAATTGGCAAAATTGCTAAATTCTGACCACTGTATTGGATAGTTGAAATCGGTAAATTAGTGGTTTCTTGTACTCATTCGATAGAAAAAAATAGAGTTCTAGCAGAATAGTTATGATTTTTGTCGACTAGTACATTGGAATTGGCCGAAAATAGGGCTCAAAGTGGGCAAAATCGCCGATGCCTAAACATCGTCGAGACCGCTAACTTTGCGAGAGCATAATTCCGTAAGTTTTCCATCAAATTTCATACTTTTGGTGTTATTATGATCAGGAAAAGATTCTCTATCTTTTCATAAGATTTTTTTTTTTTTTTTTTTTTTTTAACCCTTTGAGGGTTTTCGTCGTACTAGTACGTCTTACGCGTAGGGGTTTTTGACGTACATACTCATAAATTCTAGCGGCCTCAAATCTAGTGGGAGAAAGCTGTAGGCCTTCATATGAAAGAATGGGTCTATGTGGTCAGTGTGCACAGTCTAAAAAAAATCCTGCAGCACACAGTGCATAATGAGAAAAAAAAAAACTTTGACCATTTTTTTTTAATAAATCAGCGACTTTGCAGTGTATTTTCGTATGGTATTTATTGTTGTATTCTAGTTTTCTTGGTCTCATTTTATAGAATGGAAGACATATTACTGAAATTGAGATGATTTTGACTGGTTTTACAATGAAAGGTGCCTTGAAATTGGCTCAAAGTAGCAGAAATGTTCGATTTTTACCAAACTTCAAAAGTAAACAAATCGTGCAAGCGTGCAATACACGTTTAACTGGTGAGTCTAATATTCTTTCACAAGTGCACCAATAAAATTTATACCCTTTTTTACACTAATGAAGTAGTCTGCATAACGGTAAATCTTATATTTTTTGTGAGAATAAAAATTCAAAGTGGAAAGCAAAAGAATATAAGAGGGGCCTTGAGAAAGTGACTAATGAAGAGGAAATGTCATTTTGGCCAGGAAAGTCTTTCTTGTTTTTCGGACCCCATTCGGAAATTGGCATCTTTTTTAAATTTGTGTGAAAATTGGGAAATTGCTAAATTCTGCCCCTGTACTGGATATTTTTATTTATAAAAGGGGAGTTTTTTGCACCCATTCGATAGAAAAAAAAGGGTTCTAAACGAAATATTTTAGTTTTTTTTCGACTATACGGAAAATTTTGGCCCAAAATGGGGGGCCCCAAAAGGGGGAAAAAACCCGATGGTAAACACGCCGAACCGCTAACTTTGCGAGAGATAATTGTAAGTTTTCTATCAAATTTCAAACTTTTTTTTTAAAAAAAATTTTTAAATTTTTCCCCCTTTTTTCGGGTTTTTAAAAAAAATTTTAAAAAAAAAAAAAATTTTTTTTTTTTCAAATTAAATTTTTTTTTTTTTCCCCCCAATTTTCGGGTTAAAAAAAAAGGGGGTTTTTTTTTCCCCTTTTCCCCAAAAAAAAAAAAAACGGGGAAAAAAATTTTAAAAACCCAAAATTTAAAATTTAAAATTTGGGGGGGGGAAATTTAAAAAAAAAAAAAAAAAAAAACCCAAAAAAAAAATTTTTTTAAAAAAAAAATTTTCAAAAAAAAAAAAAAAATTTTTTTTTTGGGTTTTTAAAACCCCGCCCCCCTAAAAAAAAAATTTTTTTTTTTTTTTTTAAAAAAAAAAAAAAAAAGGAAATTTGGGGGGGTTTTTTTTTTTAAAAAAATTTTTTTAAAAAAAAAAAAAATTTTTTTTTAAAAAAAAAAAAAATTTTTAAAAAAATTAAAAAAAACCCCCCCCTTTTTTAAAAAAAATTTTCCTTTTGGGGTTTTTTAAAAAAAATTTTTTTTTAAAAAAAAAAAAAACCTTATTTTTTTTTTTAAAAAAAAAAAAAAAAAAAAAATTTTTTTAAAAAATTCCTTTTTTTAAAAACCCAAAAATTTTTTTAATTTAAAAAGGAAAAAAAGGGGGTTGAAAAATTTTCCCCCGGGGGGCCCCCTTTTTTTTTTTTAAATTTCAAAAATTTTTTTTTTAAAAAAATTTTAAAGGGTTTTAAAAAAAGGGGCCCCCAAAAAAAAAAATTTATTTCCCCTTTTTTTTTTAAATTTTTTTTGGGGGGGGAAAAAGGGAAGAAAAAATTTTCCCCCCCCCAAAAAACATTTTAAAAAAAAAAAAAGGGGGGGGCCCAAAAAATTTTCCCCCCCAAAAAGGGGCCCCCCCGGGGAATTTTTCCCTTTTTTAAATTTTTTTTTTTTTTGGGGGGGAAAAAAAATTAAAAAAAAAAAAAGGGGGTTTTTAAAAGAAAAAAAAAAAAAAAAAACCCCCCCTTTGGGGAAAGAAAAAAAAAAAAAATTTTGGGAAAAAAAAAAAAAAAGGGGGAAATTTTTAAAAAGGAAAAAAAATTTTTTTTTTAAATTTTTTTTTTTTTAAAAAAAAATTTTTCCGGAAATTTTGGGGGTTTTTTTAAAAAAAGGCCTTTAAAATTTTAAGAAAATTTTAAAAATTTTTTTTTTCCAAAAGCCAAAATTAAAAAAAAAAATTTTTTTTTTTTTTTAAAAAAAAAAATTTTTTTTTTTTTTTTTTAAAAAAATTTTTAAAATTTTTTTTCAAAAAAAAAAAAAATTTTTTTTTTTTAAAAAAAAAAAAATAAAAAAAAAAATTTTTTTTTTGGGGGGGGGGTTTAAATTTTTTAAAAAAAAATTTTTTTTTTGGGGAAAAAAAAAAAATTTTTTCCCAGGGGCCCCTTTTTTTTAAATTTTTTAAAATTTTTTTTTAAAAAAAAAAGGGGGTTTAAAAAATTTTAAAATTTAAAGGGTTTATTTTTTTTTAAAAATAAAAAAAAAATTTTTTGGCTGGGAAAAATTTTTTTTAAAAAAAAATTTTTTTTAAAAAAAAATTTTTTGGGGGGCCAAAAAAAAAAAAAAAATTTAAAAACCCCCCGGGGAAATTTTTTTTTTGGGCCTTTTTTTTTCCCCCAAAAAAAACCCCCCCAAAAAGGGCCCTTTTTTTTTTAAAAGTTTTTTTTTTTTTAATTTTTTCCCCCCCCCTTTTTTTTTAAAATTTTTTTTGGGGGGTTTTTTTTT